TGAGCTTATTGCCCTATCACAGGATTCACCAGCACTTGAGAAGGGAGAGTTTCTGCTAAATTTTTTAAACTGTGCTCACTCAGAATTTTGGGCACAAGTGATGAGGATTATCTTAGGCTGGTTAGTTTTAAAACTGCAGATGAGAAGAGGACTGGAGTTTGCTTACCCTTTGTTGGGAAACATCTACATTTGTAAGGGAAATCTCCATCTGTAAAGATGCCTCCCTCTCTGTGCCAGGAGGAAGGGGGGATGGGCTTATCTCTGGAAACTCTTAATGGGGAAGGCAAGGACTTAAGTTGTTTTACTGTCTGGAAACCTCATGTAACTGACCCCCCACCCCAATATCCTCCTTTGTCTTTAGCTGAAGATAATATTTAAGAGGTGATTTCTGGCAGTTACTTAATCCGATTTGATTCTTATCTAAAAGTTACAGGACCACCCAATAGCCAGACCCCACCTGCAGTGATACCATTTTAACTTTTTTACATATTCTTTTCTTTGTCTTATAAAGAGATAACTCACATACCTATGCCTTAAATTTAGCCTTACTCTCGACCCATGTTTGCAGTGGCAGCAGCAGCAGCAGCTCCCCATGTCAGCAGCAGCTCTGACTGCCCATGGGTCCAGTCCTCATGCTATTCCGCACTATTCTCTAAATAAAAGAGCACTACTGCCAGATCTTGATAGTCCAAATCTTTCTTTTGACTCCTCGGCTCACCGACCCCGCATCACAAGGACAGGTGGAGAGAGCAGAGAGTGCCATGCCAGCAAAGATAAAATTGAAGCAGACAGATCATTGGCCCCAGGTAAAACAATACCCCTTGAAGCCAGAAGCCATCAAGAGGAATCTTGCCTGTAATCAATAGGCTTTTAGGACAGGGATCTAGCAGGCCATGGAGATTTCCATAGAACACTCCCATGTTACCCCTTAAAGGGCTACGAATAGGGGAATACAGATGTGTTCAAGACCTTAGTACAGTCAATGCTCTACAGTGCTGGCCCAGGGCCTCTCTTCCCGAAGGAAGAAAGGGCACCGAAGAAGTGGGGTGCACAGAGTGGTTATATAGCCCCCAAAGGGGGTGTTTCACATGTGATTGAAAAGTCCCTTTTACAATAGTCACGAGGCTGCTCTGTCAGCACAGCGCTTGATGGAAATGGCAGATAGGTCTGCTGTCTCAGTGAGCGTGCAGGGTGGCAGGTGTGTTGCCTCGCGCTGGGGGTGGGGGGGGGGGCGGGGTCACAGATGAGCGCCGCAATCGGTTCCCAGCCTAAAGAAAGATGCTTAATCTTTAAGGAGATGCCAGCGTTGGGAGGGGGAGGGAAGTCAGTTACAGGAGGTTACCAGACTAGCACAATAAAATGCAGATTTTAAGTCCTTGCCTTTGGTATTGATTAAGAGTTTTTGGAGAGTAGGTCATCGCCTTTCTTCTTCCTGGTACAGAGAAGGAGGCAGCTTTTACAGATAGAGATTTACCTTACAAATGTAAATGTGTCCTAAGGAAGGGCAAGTTCCATTCCTCAGAGCCTCCTTCCCTGTTCCAGTTTATCAAAAGTAATCAGCCTCAAATAATCCTGATGCCAAAGAGACATATCTTCGGGTGGCCAATTCCAGGTCCCCACACTAGCATGGGGACAGGACCCATGGGCAGCCTGGATTTATAATAGGAAATATCTTCATTTTGTTTCTGGCACAGAGCTCCTAAAACTCTTCTAATTTCCCACATAAGAGCCCTAGGGACATCTTTTGTTATAATAATTACTTTAGTCCTCAGTTACTGAAATAACCCCTGAGGAATAAAGGTGAAATGGGTGTCTTTTGTTATGCCTAACAAGCCCCTTTCAAGTACACCTGAATTTATGTTAATAAGGTGACTTTTGGAAAGCCCCTAAGAGTGAGGGCTGGTTGCCAAGGAAACCAATTGTGTGATTTGGGGATTAGAATTTTCAGCCCTTTCCCCTTTCCCACACCTCTGGGACCCCGCGGGCATGGGGCAGTAGTGCTCTTTTATTTAGAGAGTAGAATAGCATGGGGACAGGACCCATGGGCAGTCAGAATTTCTGCTGCTGCTGCTGCTGCCCCCGCTGGCATGGGGACAGGGCCCATGGGCAGGCAGAGCAGCTGCTGCTGCCCCCGCTGGCATGGGGACAGGACCCATGGGCAGGCAGAGCTGGTGCGTAGGGACAGGACCCACGGGCAGTCAGAGCTCCTGCTGCTGCCCCGAGTTGAGGGTTAGGGCTAAATTTAAGGCATAGGTATATGATTCATCTCTTTACAAGACAAAGGAAAGAACATGAAAAAAAGTTAAAATAGTATCAGTGCAGGTGGGGTCTTGTCATTGGGTGATCCCATGACTTTTAGACAAGAATCAAATCGGATTAAGTAAAGGTTAGAAAGGTTAGACGCCACCACCCTAAACCAGTTACATGAGATTGCCAGACAGCGACCAACTTAAGTTCTTGCCTTCCCCATTAAGAATTTCTAGGGATAAGGTCATCTCTCTTCTTCTTCCAGGTACAGAGAGGGAGGCACCTTTTACAGATAGAGATTTACCTTACAAATGTAAATGTGTCCCAACAAGGGCAAGTTCCATTCCCCAGAGCCTCCTTCCCTGTCCCAGTTTATCGAAAGCAATCAGCCCAAAACAATCCTGATGCCAAAGAGACATATCCTGGGGTGGCCAATTTCAGGTCCCTACAAGGTCATCCCCCCTTCCTTCACAAACGCAAATGTCTCAAAAGGGCAAGCAAAATTCCAGTCCTCGGAGCCTGCTTCTCACCTCCAGTTTTAAAAGTAACCAGCCTAAAAGTCCTCATCATAAACCGTTTTAAAATTAAGCAGCCTAAAAATCCTCATCAGTTGTCAGAAGAATAATGTACAAACCAGACCTCCTGTACCTCCCCTGGCCAAAGCAACTCAAATTCGGGAAACTTTACCAGAAGACTGGAAAGTTGAATTTACTGTTATGCCCACAGGCCCTGGAGCATACAAATACCTCTTATTATTTCTGAATACATTAACTGGATGCATTGAAGCCTTTCCTTGTGGGTTGGAAACAGCGAATGAGGTAATAAAAGTGTTGTTAAAAGAAATAGTTCCCTGTTTGGGGTTGCCTAGATATCAGCAAAATCCTGTTTGGGTAGGGCCTCAGCTGGTGTAATTAACCACTCACTCATCCCTAAAATTAGAAGGAGCCACACCTTAGATCCTCCACACAAGGGTAAAAAAGGCACCCATGTCGAAACATCAAGAGAGATTATCACAGACAATTGATGACTCCAAGTTTTCCTGCAAACCACTCTCTAAGTTTGAAACTCTTGTCTCAGCAACACTAGACAGATAAGTAATGACTGGCTATCCATCCCAGGCTGTGCCCTGGATCCTAACCAACCCCATACCATTTAGACACAATATACTTCCAAGGAGGTTGCATGTTCCTGGGCATCAAGACTAGGTCCATCAGAGAAGGATGGGCAGCCCAGTATCTAGACTATAGAAGAGCTGGTGGAATCTGGAGTGAATAAGTATGCCCAGATCCTAAACATCTACTAAAGACATTGAGGTTATAAAATTACAGATGGTTGCAACAAATAACTCGGTGCTATGCCTGTGGTGATCCACAAACCTGTTTGTGATTGGCTTGAAATTTGGCTCCTTTGCTGCTCCCTATGACAACACCCATGCTTAGCAGGAAGCAGTTACAGAAGATGGACCTTAAATCTGTGCCCCTCAAGAACAAGGAGTAGTATAAGAACTAGGGGAGGGATTTTGTCACCAACTAGTTGCCCAGAGGAACTCAAGGGTGGGTTTGGAATGATTTAACTGTTTTTCCAAATTGTTCTTTTTCCTTCTCTTATGTTAAAGAGATGCAATCACCGACCACTCTCAACCAGCTGCAGCCTCACCACAAGAGCTACATCTATGACCTTGGCCTTATTTTTAATGCTAAAATCTCTCCAGGAGGATCATAGGCCTTATTACCATAACCTGCAGTGTATCTGGAACTGTGTTTTACAACTGAGCCTGCACAAGCAAATGCCCACCTTTGCCTTTTGAATACTCATTCTCCATCCTAAATAAATGTCCCTGCTTTCCATTGTTGGGGATGTCATGACTTTGGAAATGATGTCCCATGGTCTCCTGTTTACTACAAGTATACTTTACTTTGTGAGACAACTACTTCTGGTAGAGAGTCTTATTTAACTTGCCAGCAGGCAAACCTTCTTTGGTTTTGGTAACACTTTCCCAAACACCATCATGGCTCTTGAATTCCTCCCTCTTCTGTAAAGCTCTCCTCAGAATCCAGACGTGACCTCCCCTCCTCACATAGCCCCACACTCATCTGACATCCCCTCACCACCAACAGAAACTTCAACTTCCAAGCTAGAGAAATCTTCTGCTCTTATAACCTTGGACCTTTTACTGAGCTTCTCATTTTCCCTTCCACTCTGCTTCAAGTTTTTCTCTCACCTTTCTGGCTCCCAGTAGCTCTTCCTGCATCTGGTTGGTGTGCTTCTTGCCTCTCACAGCAAAGATTTTACAGTAAAATGATCTATAGACTGAGAGTCAAGAAGAATTACTGTGTGGGACACCCGCTGCATACCATGTATCTGTGAAATATCAACATTCTGGCCTCAGTTTCCTTATCTGTAAAATGACTGGATTGAAAGAACTGAATATTTTCTATTATCATTTTTGGCTCTGACATTCCATGTGTCTTACTTCTATGGGCTCCTGTTCCTTCCCACTCATGTATTCTTCTCTTTCTGCACTCTGTTTCTCCCTCCTTTCTCACTCTTTCATATCTTCACTATCATTCTCCACTTAGCCTTCATCTCAGCTCTCAAGTCCTGCTTTCCATTTTCTCATACTCCCTATCCCATCAATCTCATCTCAGTTCCTTTTCCCTGACTGATGATCAAGCCTAAAGCTTCATTTTATCACCTGGCCATTGGATTCTTGTGTGTAAATATATAAGACATAATTATGGATTCTATTTCAGGCAAGATGGCAGCCCATGCAACCTGACAAGACATATGATGCAAACAACCAGAAAGTCAAGAGAAAAAATGTCTTTTAATTCTTCAAATGCAGATCTGCATTCACAATAAAATAAAGGAAACCCCCTAGGGAACAAAAAAAGAAGAAAATGGGAACCCAGAGAGGGAAGCAAGAACTAACACTTGACCATAGGAGGCCTTGTACAGGTTCCAAAGTGTTTGGCTTTTGTGGTCACTTGGATCAGGAGACAAGGCCTTGAGACCAGGCAAACAAGGAGACAGATGCAACTGAAGCTTCTACTACACTCTCATCTAGTCCAAGAAAATATCCACCCAATTGTACAGGGGAGGAAGCTTGCTGGTCTGTGTGTTCACTGAATGTTGCTTTGGCTTTTGTTTGTTTCTCATTCTGGGACTTACTAATCACAAGTTTGAAAATATTCTACTTGTGTGATCTTGAAGTATATGATCCAATAAATTAAAATAAAAAGTGATTCCAAGTTTTTAATAACTCTGAGACACTTAGTGAAATTTAAAGAAAGTTAATCTCAAGAGAAGCACCCTTAACACAAACTGAAAAAGATTTCCATATGTAAAGTCTTTCCTAATATGAGACCACAATCCAAAATTAGAGAACACAGAGAAAAAATAATTCATCATGGAGGAAAGTTGGCAGACAAAAAAACAAGAAGTTAGATCCTCAAGAAATCACACATAGAGGAAATGATATGTTAAAGCTTAAAGATATAAAAAGAAATAATACCAGAAAAGAAGGAGACATGGTCAAAACATAACAGACTTTATAAAAGCAAATTAAGACTCTAGAAATAAAACTCCAATCAGTGTAACTGAAAATTCAATGGGTAGATTAAGCAACAAATAGAGAAAGCAATTTAAAAATATTTCTAAGTTGGGAGATCTGAAGAATTTCTTTTAATGCAATGCAGAGCTAAAGAGCTATTGAATATGAAAAAAGAAGTTAAGAGATATGAAGACTAAAGTGAAATCCAATATAAGTCCAATAGGAATTTCATTAGGAGATAAAATATATAATGAGAAGAGGAAATAATTTTTAAAATAATGGCTGAGAAGTTTCTAGAATTAATGAAAACCATAAATCCTTAGATTCAAGAAGGCAAAGGCTCCAAACCAAATTAATGAATTTGAAAAATAATCTTCATTTTTTTCATAGTGAAGAAAGCAACTCAGAGATGTAAGTAACATAAATCAATAAGCCAAAGTTCTCTTTTCTTATATTTCAGGTTTTTCATAAGTAATAATTCCATCAGTGTCTACTGAAGGGGAACAAAATTTGCCACCCCAAAATATATCTCTTTAACATGAGTGTTAGTTTTAAGAAACAAAAGACTCAGAAGATTTTGCTTGTTATCTCACTCTTAACTGCCTAAAATAATTTACATAAATGGCCTGAAACAGTAACAGAGCTGTCACCAGAGATATCTACAAAGAATATGGGATAAATGTAGTGAGGAAGACAGCAGGGCCTAGAGATCAGAGTCCTCTCCGTGTCTCATTGTCTCTACATAGCATGGTAAACATTTGTTTTATCATCTGAGAAAAAATCACTACAACTTAAACAGCAAATATTTATTTGGGTAATTAGAATTGTAATTTGGGAGACACAGATTCAGGCAGAAACCCAAATGGTGTTGCAGGGAAAACAGAGGCAAGGGTTTATAAAGGTAAAAACAGATAAATTACAAAGGTAATTATACAGTTTGTGCTTGGTGCTGGCAACAACTGTTACTTCTTGTTTATACATGATTGGTTGCTAAGGCCATCTCCAAGGCAAAAAGTTTTTATCTATTGAAGTAAGCACACTTATTTTAAGAAGGTCAAGATGACAACAGTGAAGCACAGCCAGAAAGTTTCATGTCATCTGGGTATAGATGTGGTATGTGTACATAAGCCCCATTTTAGAAGTCTTGACATATGTTACTCTATTTTATTGTTGCTGTCTACAGTTTACCAACATTTGCTTTTCCATCTCCAAGTAAATTGCCTTCTTCCCCTTTGAGTTCCAAACTACTACCCCAAACAACCTCTTTCATCTTTAATTGAAGATGGTATTTAAGGTGGTGGATTTAGTTGTTTAGGTGAGTTACTCCATTTCCCTGGGTCTCTCCCCTGTATATATGTTATTAAACTTTGTTTCATTTTATTCTGTTGTTCTGTCTCATGGCAATTTAATTCTAGGACCAGCCAGAAGAACCTAGAAGGTTAGAGGAAAATTTCTTCATTCTCTGCACTACTAAATACCAAAAGCTGTGCTAAACACTAAGATTAGAAAGACTAGAAATAAGCTCAAATTGTAGAGAACAAAACATGTAAACAATCAGAAGTGTAGAGTGTGACAATTCTCTGTAAGAGAAAGCACAGGGATCGAATGAGCCTCAATAAATCTGTTTTATCTATATTTGCAGCTTACATGTCCTCACTCTGAGCACCAGAATATTTGCTGCAACAATCAGATAGGGGTGAGGGAATGAGACAATATATCCGTGAAAAAATTTCAAGTGGTTTATTTTGTCAGGACCCTTATTATCAGATAGAAAGTAGGTGAAGACATTCTTTGCTAAGTGTTTACTCAAAGTTCTCCTTAAGAGCATCCTCTATGAAAACTATTTTAAGACTTTGATTTTCCATAATATATTCTGAAGATGCTCCCTAAATGTTTATTATCCTGCACTGCCTGTTATATGCTTGTTTACTCTGATGCCTTGCTTAATGACTAATTATCCAGAAGAAAACATTGCCAACACAGGATGCATTAGTTTGCTAGCGTTGCCATAACAAAATACCACCGACTAGGTGATTCAAACAACAAAAATTTACTTCTGACAGTGCTAGAGGCCAGAAGTCCAAGATCAAGCTGTCAGTAGGTTTGGTTTCTACTGAGGAATCTCTCTTTGGCTTATAGATGACCATCTTCTCACTGTGTCCTCACATCATTTTCTTCCGTGCACATATACACCTGGTGTCTCTTTGTGTGTCCAAATTTCCCCTTCTTATAAGAATACCATTCAGATTGGATTAAGACTCACCATAATTGGCTCATTTTAATTAAGTTGGCTCTTTAAAGACCTTATCTCCAAATACAATCACATTCTGGGATGGTGGGTGTTAGGGCTTCAACATATATATTTTAGGGAAAAACAATTCAGCTCATAACACTGGATATTTTCACTTTTCAAAATCTTCATTTCACTTTTCAAGATCTTGACTTTCAAAATGCGTTTGTTTTTTTTTTAACAGATGTGTCTCATAGACGTCTAGACTTTACAGGCTGCTGCAATGGCTTATGAAAATAACCTTTAACTTCCAACAAGTCTGTGATTCTGTATTGTTTTCCTATTAACAATTGTTGTCCTAGTATTTACATTTAAACTGACATCTCTGTTTTCTAAAATTTATAAATAGTGCTGATTTTTCTTTATTAAGCCCAAAGAGAAAGATTTTCTTTTTCTTCTTGTTTCACAAGATGAGAAGAAGAGGGAAGGGGGGAAGGGAAAGGGGAGGGGAGAAGGAGAAGAGCTAGGAGAAAAATGCATGGAGAGTCACTACAGTGTTTATCAAGGTTTACTATAAATCTAAAGAAATTAACATGACTGTATGACATTGCATTGACATAAGGAGAGATTACGGAAGAAAAGAATAGAATAAAGGAGCTAGAAACAGATCCATATATATGGACACTTAAATTACAACATAATTGATACTGCTTATCAGTGGTATCAGTCAATTGACTAATATTGAAAAAGATAAAAATTTTACCCCTATTTCACACCACATATGAAAATCAAATCTAGGTATATTGTAGATCTAAATGCAAAAAGTAAAAGAGTTAAGCTTCTCAATAGCACAGTTGTTTTCAAAGTGTGATCCCGAAACGAACAGAATAAATATCATCAGGAAGGTGTAAGAAATGCAAATTATTAGACCTCTTCCCTGAACTAAAGAAGTAGACATTCTGAAGGTTTGTCCCAACAATCTGTGCTTTAAAAGCCTTCCAGATGATTCTGATGCCCACTCAAGTTTGAGAAGCACAGATTAAGGAGAATATCTCATGACTTTAGAGTAGGAATAAATAATTTATAAAAGTAGATAACAATAAATATAAAGAATAATACCTGTAAACTGTATCCAATTAAAGAGAAAATCTTTTCATCAAAATAAAATTTTGAGAGTGAAAAGCAAACCAAAGACTGGTAGAAAATATTCACAATACATATATCCAACAAAAGATTAGTATCAAGAAATTATAAAGAACTTTAAATCAATAAGAAAATGATTGACCCCCTCATGCCACATACACACAAATAGCTAAAAAACTTAAACTAGTACTTCACAAAGAACGTATCTAAATGACTAATAAGCATATGAAAATGCATTAAGTACCATTAGTCAACAGGGAAATATGACCTAAAGCAAGAGTTGAATAAAATACACCCCGAATAGAATTGCTAAAACTAAAAGAGTTAATAATATCAAATATGGATGAGGATATGGAGAAGATGGAAGGTAGATTGGTATACCCAATATGGAAACCAGTTTGCCAGTATCTATTAAATGTAAAAAGCATGTATAACCTGTGACCCAGCAATTCCATTTCCATGTATATTCCCAAGAGAAGTAAGTATTTATGTTCACAAAAAGACATGTCCAAAAATGTTCCAAGCAGCGTTATTCAAAATAGATAAACTCTGGGAACAATTAAAAGTCCATCCACAGTAGAAGAAATAAATTATGCTATACTTACACAGTGGAATACTACCAGCAATGAAAAATAATGAATTATTACCACATGCCCAACATTGATAAATCTCATAGAAATAATGTTAAGCTAAAGAAGACAGACACAAACAGGACTTGGTGTATGATTTTAGCAACAAGAAGTTCAAAATAGAATCAAAACTCATTTATGGTGATAGAGATCAGAATAGTTGTTGTCTTAAAAGGACTAGGAAGTGGAGCCATGACGGAAACACAATGGTGAGGTATCAGAGTGGTCAGCACTATGGAAAACCAGGACCTGATCCTATTGGAACCCTCTGATGAATCATGCAGCTCCTGCCTCAGTATTGTCCACTTGAGGGATCACATAGCCATGATCCCTTGTCCCTAATAGTCAAGAACTGTTGCATGGGGTGTTACTTCCCCTACTCTTGCAGTTTTGAGCATCCACACTTATTAGCATCTTCTCACATCATGAGAAAAGCCTTTGTGCAAAAATGCAAAAGATATTCAAGGCAGCATAAGTTAGGTTGTGTCACCAGTTGCCTTAGCAATGGCTGGGGGAAAAAGAGGGCTGAGAATAGGTGAGGCAGGACACAAGTGGTCTCTGATACCATCAGGTTTTTATGAGCAAACAAACAAAAAACATAATGTATACAAAATCAATCAATTTTTTTTCCAGGGGAAAACTTGAATATCCCACAGTCTGTTTAGGAACTGTTTAACTCCCAG